ATGCACTAAAACTACGATTTTTATTCTGCATAAAGAACAGCAAGTGAAAGAAGGTAAATGTGCATTTTCCTTCCTGTACCAATACACTAAAGTAATTCTTATTTAAAAATTGTCTAATTTTGTAACAAACTATGTATGCAGGACGAAAACGTCAAGTTTCACAATCCAAGATTTAAAATAGAGAATCGAAAATTACTAAATTTCATCCTGGAACTTTAAGTTTATATATAAACCTTGTTTCAATTAACAAACCGATATAATTTCTATACTTGTTCTGTAAAAAAAATAAATAAAAAGAACAGCGCTATAATTAACAATTTAAAGCCAATTTCGATGGAAATGGTAAAACGTTAATTCAATCTCAACAAAAATATTCTCTATCTAAAGTTATTACTTGAATTGCCATTTACGTAGAGTTGATAAATCGATATTCGATAACAATTTATTATCCTGGATTTTGCAGCAAGAAAACGAGGCCAATAATTTCGGTTATATCTCAACTGCAACGGGGTCATATTTGTAATGTCATCGAAGTGATACTTCGGTTAATTTGCTTCACCGTACATTTGTCGCGACAACGTACAGTCCGTGGAAAATCCGTGGGTGTCGTGCTGTCAGGAAACGAGAATTATTTTCCGACGTTGACGAAATTCCACTTTTTTCAAGGGCGATTCCTGCCAGTCGCCAACGCGAGAGCTTTTAATAGCATCAATCATAATTCGTGCACGAAAATATAATGTAAATAATGCAACTTCTACTTCAAACATGTAATTCTTCAATTTTCCACCGTGAAATCTATGATAAATATGAATCTGTCGATATGATTTTAAATTCAAATTTTCTTCCAAAAAAAAAAAAGAGGGTAAACAAAATTGACAAGGTTATTTTTATTAAAAATTGATTCTAATTTACGAGATCGACAACTGCACAAAAAGATTGTGCTGTTGAAGATATAATTGTAATTATTGTTAGAGTTATCGACGAATCTACTTATTCTGGAAAATATTAGAATTTCAAATGAAAGTGTTCCAACTGTAAGGGGAGTTAGAGTAACTGTTATGTGAAGAGAACTACAAACAAAATGCGCAATACACGGTTCCAGCACGACTGACGCTTCGCTCTTCCGTCCTTAGCAACCTCTAACAAACTTGTTTTCTTCTGTTTCACGCCTCTGACGGACACACGCATGCACATACACACACACACGCGCTACACTTAACACTAAATTTTTTCAGGTATAATAATCTCTGTAATAATGATGGATTAAGAGTAAGCTAAGTTAGGCTCTCCTTTGTCTAATTTTTTTATTGTTCTGGCAATTGTTATTTATAGCATTTCTAAAGGGTAAAATCAGTTGATAAATTGATAATTTGCATTAGAAAATATTAAATACGGTTTTAAAAATATTCCACTGAAAGGTTTGCAAAGGTTTACTTAATCCGTTTGGACGGAGATCACCTACTTTTTGCACGCGCGGTATACAGAAATTCAATCTCTACTAGGTGTGCGCGCAGGCAACAAAAAATACGATAAAAAGACCTTACGCCGTAAAGCATGTGGCCCACAGACTGGTAGTACTAAAACTTAGGTTTGTAAATACCCATGAAAAATGATTATTCGTTAATGATAAATAACAAGTCCACGTATGATCAATATTACAAGTCTACATTTCACGAAATCAATGTTACTACAAACCTAAAAAATTATTAATAGATAATAAAAATTTTCGGGATCAGTAAGTAAATAGGAAACGCACGATAGTCACACGTAATGTATATGTATATACATGCATCATTTGTATGCAGGTAATATTTGAAATTGTTCGATTGAAAACTAGGTTACGCCTTGATTTACTGTCCTACATTCTTTCCTCATTGCAAATTTTCAATTACAAGTCACCCACGTCGAAACATTGAAAAATTTCACAATTTCACCGGTGCATCAATATTAAACATCCTTAAAACTGTTTTACATATTCATCGCCGCAGTAAGCATCGACTTTGAATAATTTCTCAATATGTAAAATCCGTCGAACAAATGAAAAAAAAAAAACATAAACGTCAAGAAATGCTTGTCTAGAAAGATTAATTATTCTAAAGAATAACGATTTATTGTTACGTCTACGAGAAAAATAGGTTCGTCAGTTCGCTACATTTAATGTAAAAAAAAGAAAGATGTAAGGACGTCTAATTTTCTTAGGTATAACGGACTGTTGTGAAAGTCATGGCATTACCAATGACAAACAATGGCGGCTTTCGTAGCGGACAGTTGATGTTGACTGGACGACGCGCGTCCAAATCAGTTCAGCCATTTCTTCCACGTTTCTGATGATACCGCGTGAAGAAGAAAAAGACGTTGCATAACGGGCAAGAAAAAAAAAATGCAAGAAGCACTAACGAAAGGACTGTTCCCAGTTAGCGAAGCACGCGTGACTACGTGACTTTCCATTTCAATGTGTCCACACGTCGAAACTTTCGACCCGCGGATTACTAAATCGTGCGAGTGGGGGCGACATCTTCCCGTGAGGCACGAACACCGTGGAATTTATAGAGGTCACTGGTAAATTCGTTCAATTCCATCGGATCGGCACGGAGCCTCGCGTGAAGAGTAAATTTTTGCACGGAATATCGAGTCCGTGAAGGTTCAAGGATGCAGCAACTTCGTACAAAAAACATACGAAGCCTCAAGAATTTATGTCGTGACCAGACGTGCTCGTCAAAGATTTATACCGGCACACGAGCCGAGTAATTTGTATGGCGATTTTTCTTTCGGCCGACCAAAAGATCGAAAAGTTTCTCCGCTTTCGCTGCTGATATAACGCGCCCCCTCGTATCACTATCGTCCCTCTTCATTCCGCTTTTATAGTGAACTTCTTCCAAGTGAGATATCGTTTCGAAACGGGATAAGTAATCGGTCGCATAAAGACGGAACTTTTATACGAGACCTCTGGCCTAACTTCACGAAAGCGATGCGCTCGGTTGGTCAATGCATTTGTTCGTCGACTGACACCTACGAGTCGACGAGAACGAATGAACCATAATGGCAGTTCTTTTTTTGCCGTGTTTTGCTCCGAGCATGATGTACTATCTTGGCTAAATTTATCCGCTGGAATTTCATCGAGAAAATTCACAAATAAACAGGATTGAAACTGAACGAAACGCCGCACGCCGTTAAACCTGACACCTCAACCTTGCACAGCGTGCATTTTTAACAGCCGGTTAATTACCGGTACGAGAGTCGCGTATCCAATGGTAACAGCTGGCTGGTCGAAATTAACGTCTCTCGAAAAGGACGCGTCACCCTTTGTTTCTAGTATCGGCGATCATATGCTGCTGCCTTCGCTTCTTTGTGTCCCGTGATTTGCGAACCGTTATACAAGGTGTGCCAAAACGAACACAGGCACGCTTTAACAAATCATTCACTCCAAGTCCTGTTTCTATTGCTGTGTATTCAGTTTTTTAGTTCACTATCCGTAAACACATTTAGAACACTGTATTATTAATACTCTCAATGAAATCGTATTAACAATGGAATATTTCGATTCGTTTCGATTTAACCTGAAAATACACGTTACCCATATCCACTAATATAATTTCTCTAAAAATTTAATTATAGCTTCAATAAAATTTGCAATCACTGTAACTAAATATATTTATCGAAAATAAGTCCTATAACTGATGCAATATTTTTTGCTAAAAATGACTTTGCAAACATAACCTGCCAAAATTTCTCACGTGAAACATTCTGTACACGAACATCGGTAGTCAAGCTGTTCTGCCGCACTGTTAAATAGGTGTGCATGCACCGATCAATGTCGAAAAACTGGAGATCGAAAGTAAACGTTCGAAGTTCAACGATACCGTGAGAAACTGTATGCGTGAATGAGAAGGAGAAAAACAAGAGTGAGGGCCAACAGAAGAGTGAGAGGAGGATAGAAAATTTATCGTATTTTCAACAATGGTCGAGCAGAGCGGTTAACTGGCGCGCTACTCATCGTCGTAGAGCAACTAATTAAGCCGCAACACCGAGTTGTTGGTCCGTTAATTGGTACACCGATTAAAAGCACGATGAACGGGGAGGTATCGTTTTTCATAGGACAAGGTCAGAGTCCTAAGGACTGCAGTACGGCCATGCAACCGCTCGACAACTGCCGGATTCCTCTCTCGCCCGATGCCGCGCGTGCGGTGACAGAACATAGAACGGATATAAAAATAGTTGTACAGACGCCGAGGTTCAAGACCTCAATGTATAGATACTACGGTGGCATCACGATAACGTTATCCATGAAATTACGGTACAGCTGTATTTGCATGTAAACACCATCAAAGATGAACGTCGGCGACACTGTTCATGCGATAAGTAGATTAAAATTTCAGGAGACGTATCTCTGTCTCTCGGCCGGTTGTTTGGAATCGCAACCACACAACGTCTGAAAGTTTCCGTTCGTGGCTGTTTACCATTCACGATGTACACGCACACGCTGCGTAACGAAGATAAAAATCAAACGGAGAACTATGATCCTACGGTGAGTATGCGAGATAACAAAGCCAGTTCACTCAAGGGTCCCGTATGCCAGAGGAGCAACGAAAGATAACGCATGATAAGAATCTTTCTCAACAGGCGATACCTGTCCGGAACCTCGCGACTACATTACGAAAACTTTGTTCTGACCTATTTTCGAAGATGCTGCATGCCACAATCCCGGAAATTTCCCCATAATTTGAAACACTATCTGAACTATACGAATCACCCACATAGGCTTATCTCGTGAAATATCTGACGAATTTCCTCTTCCTTTTCTTTTGTTAAAATTCCGAAAGAGATTGATACTTTAGAAAAAAGTGGAATCACTGGAAATTTTGTAGACACGCGATATAAACGTTTTCTGTAGATCGAAAAAGGTCACTTGGCTCTGTGCATTAGCTGAATATTTGTTGGCATACGAAGTAAAGAACACTGCGATGTGACGAATACCGATGTAGATGTAGTCGTAAACTTACCGAAAGGACGCTCGAAGCACCTTACGAAACTCCTTTGTATCCAGGGCAGTGAAAAATCCTCGTGGTGACACCGCGATTAGCGAGTTTTGCATACATCTAAACACAATCACTAACACTATAAGCCAAGCACTGAAAGAATTTTCGCGCACACCTGCCTTGACCTCACGATCTGACCGGTAGATCGGTAAGAATTTCACAAAAATCACATTGATAGCGTTCGACCGTCAGCTTGCTTCGGAGATCATAGACCAGCTGTGTTTTTGCCCGACCATTGAGGAACTCGTGCATGCGCACTAGCCTCGCTGCCATCTTGACTTTCTCAGGAGTAGGAAAATATACCGCGCGCTATTTGAAGCTGTTAATTTCAGTCTACCAATAAATTAATGTGCTTATGACCGCATTAATGTCTTTCTTAATCATATAGAAATATTAAAATGATGTAAAATAAAATGATTCTCATTTACTCTACCTTTAAGCGAATATAACCTCTATTATCACGTGAAAATATTGATAATATTTTTAAATAATAAGATAGTCAGTGCTTTTACGTTGTTTTAAACGTAATAAACTAAAAAATATTATAACTGCTCTTAAATCTATAGGGAGAACCATTAATATTATTACTTACAAAAGTATAAAAATGATTTTAAGGTTAATAAAATATTGATATATTAAACACGTGTTAGTGGAAATTTAATATTTCTAGATTTTAATACCGTATTGTGGACCAGGAATAAAAGACAAACAAAAGTAGATTAAGAAGAAGTTAATATACAGGATGAACCACCTAACGTGATCACCTTGGATTATTCTGTTGTAAGTGGACCGATCGAAATTTTTTGTGTTGCATAATGTGGTTTAAAGGGACCTTTAAGATGGTTATAATACACTTTTTATCACTTCATTCGAAGTTTTCAAGATCATTTTCAGTGTTTTTTATGTATTTCTTTGGCCATGAGTTAGTGAGCCATTATGACGAATTCAACAAATATATATATGCAAGCGTATTAATATTTTTATTTATACTTTCCTAAATATAAGATAGATATACAGATATACGTTATAGTATTAACTACCGACATGTATGTACATCTTTTCTTTCGTCTAATAAATCATATGGAATATATGGCAGTAATTATTTAGAAAAGGGCGCTAATTATAAAAGTCACAGAACCTCAAATATATGTATACCATTCAGCAAAAAGTTACATAAGAAGTGGAATGATTTAAGTGTGGGGTTTGCAAATTAAAATGTGTGACGTAAACGCAATATTAATGCCAAACGATTTGTTTAGATTAAATTAACTTTTTCAGGTAAAAGAAATTTTTATGTTCTTTTTCAATCCCTTGGGTTTATATGATTTAAATGCACACAGATATAAGTGTGTTTTTGCGCTAAATGTTTAATAGTTATTTATTTAAATAAGAAAGTGT